CGCGTCAGCAGGTAAATAAAACTGGCCCGGCCCGCCAGGGTGTTTACCCTGGCGAGCCACGTGCCGAACGTTGCCGACCCCTGATCTAGTGGATCTGGACTAAAATTCCGGAGAGCTGGGTTGAATTCCTGGCTCAACCACAGACTTTCTGTGTGACCTTCAGCAAGTCGAGTATAGTTTACTTGGGCCTCAGTCCCCCATCCATAAATTGGGGACAGTACTTCCTTATCTACAGGAGTGTCTGAGGATAAAATACATTAATAATTGAGACACTCCGATATTATGATGATGAGGGCCATATAAGTCTCTAGATAAGCTAGCTGGTGAGTTAAGTGTTCTAGCCTTTTAACTGCTTGAAATGTGCGCTGAAATCTTGTCTTAGTTTACAAATTAGCGAGAGTTTGTTGGTTTGATTCTAGTTCCTAGCCCACCTTCACACATCCACCACACAGTTTGCAACAACTGGTAATAACACTTCAAGACAGACCCAGGATTAGTATATGCATGATGTGTTGCAAATCACGACAAAGGTGCAATGTCAGGGGGAAGCAAGGGACACTTCTAGCACCATGCATCTGCACTACCTCTGGTTCTAGTGAATGCTATTCCCTCACCTTTTCGAGCACCTAAATCACACAGAAAAATGTATACAAGTGCACAGACTAATAGTGAAATGATTATGGAAAAGTTTTCAGTGAAGTTTTCTTACAATTGTACCAACTAAGACTCCTGTTCCCTTACTATTGTGAAGTGTAGTGATTGTGCGCCTGGATGCATTTCAGTATTATAAAGTTTGTAAAGAACACTGGAAATCCTTCAGGATAAAAAGGCCTGACCTATACAAATGAGCCTGCCATTATCTCACTGGTGCGAACAGGAAAAATGTATTTCAGCTATCACTCTTCCTACTATTTATCTGGCTGAAGACAAAAGGAAAATTTAATAGGAAAACAGGAACACCCTCCACACAATTCAAAGGACTGGCAATAGTGTTACGTTTTAAATGAAAGCTCAATTTAAATATTACATGAGGACCCTAAGCATTTTTGAGACACCCCCAAACACACACACACACACCCCGGTTTCTTGCATGTGATTTTTCTCACCCACAGCTCAAGGATTATTATACATCACACCAGTTCACATAACGGTCAGTTCCTTTGAAATCACAGGCTCAAGCTTAATCTGTTTTCTTTCTGGTCCTGCACTGCACCTGCTGTACTGATATCAATTCTATTAATATTCAGTATAGAACAAGGGGCTGTCAAGGGCATACCTGGCATGTTCAGCAGATGCATTCTGCCTGGATGTACCGTAACATCGATCAGCAGTTAAGCCATTAGAGTAACTGAGTTAACTAGCTGAAAAGGGAAAATATGTATGCCCATAGATATTACCTTCAAAAAATTCTCTACATATTGTAAGTAACTAATTCTCTCTAAATCCAAGTACATCATCTACAGATCCACAGTTAGAATTTAAGATTTGTCACACTGAACTACCAAGTGCAATATCTTGCCTCCCATGGTGACTTATATTTGATGCTTCAGAGGAAGACAAAAATGCATAATATACCTTTCCACTTGTGCAATGCTGTATGCTGCTGGACACTAACACTTTTGGGATGTTTCTGTCAGACATAAAAAGTAAATCAATAAAACACTGGACAAAGGCAACCCTATTAAGTAAAAAAGTTCCCACTGGATCTTCAAGAGATTTTTCTTTGACAATGTGCAGACTGAATAGGAGCAACACATAAAAATCCTAAACAATAATTAAAGTTATGCACAAAAACTTGACTGTTCTTAACCTACAGACATTACAGAATAGGTCAAAGAAGACATTGCACACATGAAGATGGAAAGGTAAGCAGAACTGTGAAATTAAAGAACACCTTAAAATCACAGCTACAACCAACCTGTGTATTCCTTCAGAAAACTCAGATTAAAATTCTGTAAAACTGTTCAGGTACTATCACTTGGAAATCTTTTCTACGGGAAATGACTTCTGGCTTATTTCAGACCCAACTTCAGCTCTGACCAAGTGAACTTGATGTAACCCCTCAATGTTACAGAAATTAAAAAAACCTTCAAGAATCTGAAGCTTGTCCCGATGACTTCAAAAAATGAACTGACACATATACGAGGAAGCGTGGTGTTTATATCCCTTCACATGAGCCAAAATATATCATGTAAGTCAAACTGATTGAATAATGAATTACTCACACATCTCATATTGGAGGAGGCCACATGAATGAAGAGAGTGAAGGTACAAATATCAACCTTGCAAGATTACGGCTATCAGCTAGTAATGCACATCAAGAGGCTTTATAAAACGTTATAAATGCCATTAATGACTATAGGCACATGGCCAGAATATTGGTAACTTCAGAACTGGCAGTCACTCCAACTCTAACCAAGTAAAGAGGCACTGTGAAAAGTGGCAATGCTTCTACACAGCAATTACTATTACTGTAGAATAAAATGGTGTCATTTAATGAGTACCTGCTCTACATTATTTCCCTTTTGTTAGACAAGCACATGAAGTATTCAGAAAAAAGTCTATTACTCTATAAAAGGCGTTAGTGTTAAGAAATGCAAATGAAGTATTTGCATCTTCAATTTTATAAACTTCACAAAAGGTGCAAATGATTTAACGCTTCCCGGGCTCACATAGGCAGGTCAGTACTGTTATGTCTAGTTTTTCTAGACGTACCATCATCTCGTGGCAGTGCTTTCTGCAAACTTGACATAGCAGCAGTTCTTTCAATGTCTATCACAGCATACAGCTCTGTGCGCCTGGTTGGAGTTTGTGGAAGTGGAGTGGTAGGAGTTTTTGGAGTCTGAGGGTTGTCGGAGTCACTGCCACCTTCCAAGTCAACCTGTATATAATTGAGCTGCCTGTGTTCTAAACTTGGACGTCTAATATCAAAGTTAAAGACTGTTGGTGTACAGTCCCGACGTCGTGTAAATTCTACTTTATGAGCACTTGCTGGCACAGTTACATTCTCTGTATTTACGTAATTATGCATTGGATCTAGGTTATTGTGGTAGCCATTCAGAGATGGGGTCTTTGGTCCTAAATTGTCATCTTCATCTCTACTTAGCTTGCGGGCTTCCCAAACAGGAGGCAAAGATGGCAAGTTTTCATAGTTTAACAATGCAGTTCTCCTTTGAGCAGAGTTGTTAATATTCTGGGTATCTGAGGTACTTGTTGATGTCAGACGACCTCTCCTGACTCCTGAGGCACTAGGGATTGATAACCTATTTAGATTTTCATACACTAGTTTATTACCAGAAGGTGTTTCTTTACGTTCATCACTGTCGTACCCAGTGTCCCATTCAGAGTTGTTTGTACTGCTGCCACTAACTTGGTCTCTCCCAAGTTGCTCCAGTTGCTCTCTTTCCATTAATTGTCTTTGAACAGGTGTTGGTCCTAAAACAAATTTGACTCCTTCAGGCTCCAGAAGAACCTGAGCATCTCGGTCATCAGTGCAATTCTGATCTTCTGTTGTCTTGCTTGTTTCAACATTAGAAAGCCTTAATTCCAGCGGTACATGCACACTTGATCTATTTTTTTTCCCCTCTTGTACACCAGTAGTGTTGACATAGGTGTGCACCTGTAGAGGACAAATTCAAACATTAGTTGCACTTTTTCTTAATCTCCTTAGTCCTTCCCTTCCCTCAAAGACTTGCAATCTTTTTGCCTGACTGTCTGAAGAGTGAAGGAAACTGTTTTCGGGGGACAGAGTTTTGTGGTAAAAATCCAGCCTATTGGGTTGTGTTGAGCATGGAGCTTTGCCAGAGGTTTGCTACTCATCTCATTTTTGCAATGTTGTTTTAAATAATGTCAAAGGTGCCCAGACTAGCCAATGAGAATCTTTTTCTACTATTAAATTTAATAATAAGCTCAATTCTATCCTATGTCTGAGCTCTGCTGAGGTTACAGCTCCCTGATCCAGTGCCAAGCTAGCCCCAACATTGGTCAGAACAGCTTTGGGGCTGCTCTGACTAAAGCCACTGGTATACTTGGAGGGTCAGGGTAGCAGATCTCCACCTTACACACACACACACACACACACACACACACCCCAGGGGAATGTGGTGCAGGAGTTGCCTTTGCTAAGTTTACATGAGCAGAGTTCCCCTCTGCAAGGGAAATTTCTCTGCTGGCCACTTAAAGCCTGAATCCAACCTGTTGTGTGAACTGAATGGTGGAAAAGTGCTGGATCATACCAGAGACTCTGTCCCATAGTAAAGTGACAGCTCTTTCACCAAAGAGCATATAGTCTATTAATTAATTGTCAAATTATAAAACTGTTTCAGGAATAAAGATGGAAGAGGTCAGACTGGTATGTTAAATTGTATATTAAAAGTGTTGACCAGGGTGTTGGTAGCAGATGCACTTTGGGTGAGTTAAAACCGCACCACTAGCTTCACACTTTATCCCTTCAGGGCTCCCATCCCCTTGCTTTAAAGAGAATGGATAGATGGAATTCTCTCATCCCCTAATACCACTCCTGGATCTGGAAACTTGGAGGGCAAAGGTACTGCTTGAGAACAACTCCCTTCTATGCTCCACACTGTACCAGATCTCTGCCAGGATTTGCCTGCTGAGTGTGTGTAGGGCACACTAGTAGATGGTGACAACTATTACTTTTCTGGGTTGCCTCACACATCAACAGTCACGTGTGCCTTAATTTTTCAAGTTATTTGCTTCTACCAAAGAGCATTGCTGAGAATCAAATACAAAGATGTAATTTCTCCCACACCACTTACCCAGTGACATACTCAAAAAGCCACAGTGAGGCACTCAGCTTCTCTCCCACTCCAGTTGCTTCCAACCCCTGTTCTCCCTCCCTCACCTAATTCATTCTCCTTCGAACACTCCAACCATTTGTTCTCTCCTCTTCCTTCCCTGAAGGTGCTCACTTGACTCATCGCCATCTATCTTCCTCTCTGACTTTTGGCTCTGCCTCTTTTTCTCCGCCCAGTCTCTCATCATCATCCTCAGTGACTTTTCCATGCTGACTCCCCATATGACTCTTACCCACATATCTTCTTGTCCTTATTACACCAAAATATGTTTTCCTGGTATTTTGGCTCATTTTCCTTTCAGCACCTGCTTCTTATCACCTTAAGATTGTCATGGGGCAGGAACTGTCATACATGTGTGCACGGTACTGATCACAAAGGTACTTAAGTTCATGATTGGGAACAATACAAATAAATGCATAATAATGTGTATTTTAAATCAAGTAGCTAAGAAAACAAAAAGTTGTTCTTTGGCCAGATACACACCATATACATCTTCATCAAGGCTACGGTTTTGTCACGGGGGTTGCGGAAGTCACAGAATTTGTGACTTCAGCCCTGGCGGCAGGGAGCTGTGAGGTACCCCCACCACCTGAGGCAGTGGGCCCCCAAGCTCTCAGACGCCATGGGCAGCGGGGGTACCCTGCAGCTCCCAGCTGCAGTCGTGGCAGGGCAGGAGGACCCCTGCAGCTTCCTGCGGCTGGGGAGGAGGGATTCTCGCAGCTTCCCTACACCGCTGGTGGCAGGGGGACCCTGGAGCTCTGAGCCCCCATGAGTTCTGGGACCCCAGAACTCCCAGCCACCCTGCAGCTGCCCCGGTCCCTACCCATTTTATCATGGATATTTTTAGTAAGAGTCAGGGACAGGTCATGGGCTTCCATGAATTTTTCTTTATTGCCAGTGACCTGTCCCTGACTTTTACTAAAAATACCCATGACAAAACCTTAGCTTTAATCATCATCCTAAAATGGTACCACATGCAAACATTCTATAGCAATACAACATACTATGCAGATACGCACAGCCAAGATCAGAAAAAAATCCATGTTTTTCCATCATGGAAACAGAGCTAGGAAAATAAGTGCAAATACAAATCTACAGGATCAGTACAAGAACAGTAGAATTAACACTGAACCCAAAATATGTGAAAATAAAGACTATGCTTACTTGTTCCTCTGCTACAAGCAATGGATGCGTTGACTCTTCACCTACTGAAGGAAGCCGTGCACTTCCTACAGAGGGATGCCTGCTGGAAGGATGTGATGAAGCATCTCCAAAGGAGGGATATCTGGGATATCCATTAGGTAAACTTTGTGCACTGAACCCAGGAGCTAATTCAATTTAAGAAAAGATGCATTAAAAAAATATTCAAAGTGACCCCTTATGTATCATTCAGCTGCTTTCTTGTGTCTTTGGAAAGTGCACTGTACATTGCGCGCAATATCAAAATAAATATATTTAACAAATCCCAAATGCTCACAGGGCCAGATATGTGCCTACAAAAAAAAAAAAATATCTAGATTGGAGCTCCTCAATATTTAACTGACAAATCATGTGCCAAAAATTTTAATCCCCTCAGGAAAATATGAAAAGCAACTACCACTGAGTAACAAAGTGGAACTGGCATCAACATTCATTTTCTTAAGTTCAGCCTTCTTAAGCTGTATTGTTTGCATGCATAAACAAGAAAACAGTACGGGAATGTATATTAGATATAAATACTATTGAAAAATTAATTTGTTTTTCATAATTGCATTGCATTGTTTGTCAGTATACTTAGGATACAGAATGACAGCAATGATTGAATAAAAAACGAGTTTGCAACAAAGGCCAAGCTAAATATACAATGGGAAAATAAGTTAGTTTCATTGGTTACAAGTACTTCATCAGAAAAATTGCTAAGCCAATGGATTTTCTGGACAATTTCAGTTTTTCTTCACACACTGGCAAATTTTAATGCCAAATTTTAATGCAATTTTCCAGTTAACTATATAAGATTGTCACAAGAGATATTCCTGTAATGTCACTAGTCACAAGAGTGTCTACTTTTGAGAACTTCATTCCACCACTTTTCAAATTCATTTTTACAGCTCTAGTTTATCATCTGAAGTGAATGTATAGGCAACACTGAAACAAAAAGTTTACATTTTTAGATCTAGATGGAGAATGAACCATAACCCTCTGACAGAACTTAGTTCTTATCAAACTTCTTTTCAATATTGCCAATAGTCACATGAAGCGGTCTCCTTAAGGAAAAGAAAATTACTTGCCTGTAATTCTACTTTCTTAAAGCATCATCACCACAGGATCCTCACTGTTAGATCTCAAGCCTCCAGCCTGAGATTGGCCAGAACTCCCAAAAACAGAGTTTTGGAGGGCTTCACACACCCCCTCCCCACAACAGCAGAAGAAACATTCCAACCCTGCAGCGCGAAAGGTACAACTTAACTGCCAATTCCCCCCCCCCCCCCCGTTCTTTTGTGAAAGGCTGGAACATGACCAATACCAACATATCATTAAGTCTGCCGGGATAAAGGGTGAGTGCATATAAAAAACACCTCCAGCAGACAATGTTATTTTTTGTATATAAATACGCACAAATACACAATCACCACAAGGCAGAGCACACCTCTTCATAGGAGAACTCCCAGACTCTGAAAGAAGATGCATAGGTGAGTGAGAATCATGTAAGATGTAGAAAGAATTTTCTCTTCTTTAAAGATACCATCATTATGGGATTCTCACTCTTGGTGAGTAAGTAGCTTAAGGGATGTGATGTTTCAAAATAAAACAAAAGGCACTGCATCAGGCAGTGATTAACATGTACCTCAGGCAAGATGCAAAGCAGCTCTTTTTTTCTTTAGTAAAAGAGAGGGTGAGTCACCTCCTACTAACCAAGAAGCATCAATGCAGAGGGATTTGAGGATGAGTGCTCAATAAGCAAGAATTATCCACAAATATACCCAGATAAAGATATCCTGAGAAACAAAACTCATAGGGGTGGGAGAGTTTGGGCTCCCCTACTATGAAATATGTTCTGTAGACATGAGAGATGGAAGCTGACTGCAAGCCATGATGCAGATATCTATGACCACAACATCTGTGAGGTAAAGGTCTTCCAAAAAAGCCAGAATTCAAGCCATTTGTTCAGCTATACATACCATGCCCTCAGAACTACATCCTGTCAAAAACAAAAGTGTCAGAGGAGAGCTCAATTTGGGATGGAACAAGGTCACAGGAGTTCTGAGCATTCTTCCAAAACTACACTCTGAGCCTGAAAAAGCTCATCTTAGATATTTATAAAGTCAAAAACCACAGTGTCTTGGCTAATATGGGGATATTGGAAAAGGAGAGATAACTCAACTATGCAGTGGCTGGAGTTCTTCAAGGTATGTGTTCCTATGGGTGCTCCACTTGAGGTGCACATAGCCCCATGAGCCTTTGACCGGAGATGTTCAGTAGCAGTGCCCATTTGGCCTATGTATGTTCTCCAGACATCCTTGTGCCCTGTACTGGGGATACAGAGAGCTGCACAGACAAACCGCCCTCAGTTCCTTCTCTACCACAAAGTTCCATGAAAGGAAGCTCCGAAACAGAAGGAAAGGAGGGCCTGTAGCAGAGCACCCTCAGGGACACATCTCAAACAACTCCAGTTATGCACAAGGTGAGTAACCTCTCCTTCATTGAGTAGTTTCCCTGTAACAAGTTCTCTATTTCAGATGACTCCCAAGTAGTATCCTCACCCAGAGGAGGGAGCTTCAGAGCCAAGTCTAATAGTGAAGACAAAACTGCATTACCAACTCCAGCATCTGATCTATAGGCATGAACCAAAGCATGTAGAGAGGTCCAGGTTGCAGCCTTGCTGATTTCATAACAGGTTTCAGCCTGTACAATGGGCTAGCACAATGGAAAAAGGTCGGATTTGACAGACTCATAACATGAAATAATACCCCTAGAGATCCACCTTGAGAGTCTTTGGGAGGAGACTCTCGGTCCTTTGGATCTGTCTGCAACAGAAACAGTCTGGGAGACTTTCTAAACGGTTTAGTTTCATCCAGATGGAAGGCTAATGCCCTTCTGACATCCAAGATATGGAAGACATCCCTGGTCTGATGTAATTTGGGGCGGGGGAGGAGGGGAAGGAAACTGGGAGATAAGTGACCTGGTTAATCTGAAATTCAGAAGATACTTTAGACATAAGTTTAGGGTGTGGCCATAACAAAAAGGACAGTTACCTGTTCCGTAACTGGTGTTCTTTGAGATGTGTTGCTCCTATCTATTCCATAGTAGGTGTGCGTGCTCGCCACGTGCACTGGTGCTGGAAGTTTTTCCCTTAGCAGTACCCGTAGTGGGGGAGCACTGCTGCAACCCCTGGAGTGGCGCCTCTATATCGCGCTATAAGGGGAGCTGTGCACTCCCCCCACCCTCAATTCCTTCTTACCAGACTACTCTGACAGAGGGGAAGGAGGGTGGGGTGTGGAATAGACAGGAGCAACACATCTCGAAGAACGCCAGTTACGGAACAGGTAACTGTCCTTTCTTCTTCGAGTGATTGCTCCTGTGTATTCCACAGTAGGTGACTCCAAGCTAAATCTGATGGAGGTGGGTAGGAGTTCAAAGGTTATCGGGATGGAGTACCGCCCTACCAAACCCGGCGTCATCCCATGCTTGGGAGACGATCGCATAGTGTGAGTAAAAGGTGTGGACAGAGGACCACGTGGCAGCCCTACATATGTCCTAGATAGGGACGTGGGCTACATAGGCGGCTGACGAGGCCTGCGCTCTCGTAGAATGCACCTTTACAATAGGCGGCGGGGGAACCCCTGCCAAGTCGTAACACGTGCGTATGCACGAGGTGAACCAGTGGGAAAGGCGCTGGGTGGAGACTGGTTGCCCTCTCATACGCTCAGCTGATGCCACAAACAGCTGCGAGGATTTCCTGAACGGCCTGGTACAGTCCAGGTAAAAGGCAAGCGCCCTACACATGTCTATCGTGTGTAGGCGGCGCTCCTCGTTAGAGGAATGGGGCTTAGGACGTACCGGTAAGAAAATGTCCTGTTCCATATGGAAGGCAGAGACCATCTTAGGGAGAAACACAGGGTGTGGGCAAAGCTGGACCTTATCCCTATGGAAGGCCGTATACGGGGGTTCCGAGGTTAAGGCCCTAAGCTCTGAGACCTGACGGGCTGAGGTGATAGCCACCAAGAATGCTACTTTCCAGGACAGGTGGGACCAGTAACATGTGGCCAAGGGTTCAAAGCGAGGGCCCATGAGGCGGGATAGCACTAGGTTCAGATACCATTGAGGGACCAGGGCCCTGGCATACCGAAATGTACAATCTAGTCCCTTTAAAAAGTGCGAGGTCATCTAATGGGAAAACACTGAGTGACCCTGCAAAGGAGGGTGAAAGGCGGAAATGGCCGCTAAATGTACCCTGACAGAGGCCGAAGCTAGACCTTGGGTCCTAAGGGACAGGAGGTAATCTAGAATAAGTTGGAGGGATGCGGATGATGGGGAGGCGCCCTGCTCCCTTGCACACCTAGAAAACCTAAACCATTTGGCAAGGTAGGTCGGTCATGTAGACAGCTTTCTGCTCTCCAGCAGAATTTGTCTGACATCCTCCGAACACCTTCCCTCCTCCTCGTTTAACCATGGAGCAACCATGCTGTCAAGTGAAGTGCGGCTAGGTTGGGATGGAGAAGGCATCCCCTCTTCTGGGAGAGGAGATCCGGGTGGAGTGGCAGCCTCCACGGGCCGCTAACAGTTGCAGGAGGGTCCCATACCAATGCTGGCGGGCCCAATCCGGGGCTATGGTGATGACCCTCGACCTGTCCGCCTTTACTTTCTGCGGGACCTTGCCTATCAGTGGAAACGTTGGAAAGGTATAGAACAGTTGGTCTGACCACCGTAGGAGGAATGTGTCCGAGATCGCCCCCCTTTCTGGCCCTGCCCTGGAGCAGAACTGGGGGCGGAGACGATTCTGGGCAGTAGCAAAGAGATCTACCTGGGGAGCTCCCCACTCTCGGAAGAGTTGCTGGGCGACCTCCCAGTGGAGTGACCACTCGTATTGGTGGGAGAAAACCCTGCTGAGGTGATCGGCTCGCGTATTGCGCGTGCCGGGTAGGTGAAAAGCCCTCAGAGAGATGTCGTGGGCTATACAAAATTCCCATAGGTCCAGGGCTTCCTGGCACAAGGCCGAGGAGCGCGTGCCCCCTTGCCTGTTGATGTAATACATCGCAGTCGTATTGTCCGTGAGGACTCTGACCATCTTTCCCCGAAGGTGCAGGCTGAACGCTATGCACGCCAGGTGCACCGCCCTGAGTTCCCTGAT